TCATGTTGGTGGTGAGAAATCACCATGGTGGGTTTTTACAACATGGAAATAGGCTAGTCAGAGCTACAAAACGGCATTTTTCCTCCAGAGAGCTACTTGTTAAAGATTTTTTTATAATGTTTTTTATTTATTTTGAAAGAGAGAGAGAGAGTGTGTGCGTGTGTGTGTGAGTGGGAGAGGGGCAGAGAGAGAATCCTAAGCAGGCTCCGCACTGTGTGCTCAGAGCCCGATGCCAGGGCTCGAACCAATGAACTGTGAGATTGTGACCTGAGCCGAGATCAAGAGTTGGAAGCTTACTGACTGAGCCCCCCAGGCGCCCCTCCAGAGAGCTAGTTGTTAAGCATCTGCTAGCACGCTCCCACTCAGGGATGGGCCTTGGTTCTGGTGGTCCTAAGTAGGTGTGTTGGCAGTCTGTGGGGGTGCAGGTGTCCACTCAGATCCCCCTGCTCTCCAGGGTTTCATCCTCTTGCCCAAGACAGAGTGCGACGTCCAGGAAGTAGAGTTTGCCCGATGTCTGCGGCTTCGCCAGACCTCCCTGGAGCCCGTTGCCTTCCGTCTACCCCGAGTCAGGGTGAGGTTGGGGGCCTGACACCCCAACACCTAGTCCTCCTTCCCAGTACCTGTAATTTTTCTTTTAATCTTTATATACATATATTTATTTTTGGAGAGAGAGAGAATACGTGAGCAGGGGAGGGACAGAGAGAGAGAGAGAGTCACAGAATTCAAAGCAGGCTCCAGGCTCTAAGCTGTCAGCACAGAGTCCAACGCAGGGCTTGAACTCACGAACCGTGAGATCATGACCTGAGCTGAAGTCGGACGCTTAACTGACTGAGCCACCCAGGCGCCTCCCCACCCCCACCAGTCCCCATAAAAGGGGCTTTGGGGCCCGACTGGCCCTGTCACCAAACTATCCCACTCACTGCTCTTTGGGGTGCCTGTTCCCTTATTCTGCTGAGATTCTGAAACTGGCAGAAACCCCAGAGTGGGCCCCGGATCTTACCTTACCCCCTTCCGAAGGGATGCTGATGCACCTTGGGCCTCTGGTAGGTGCCCCAGGGTAGCCCCTTTGTTCTTCCCTACAGAAAGAGTTCTTCCAGGATGATGTGTTCCCAGACACGGCCATGAGCTGGGAGCCGGTGCTCAGTGCAAAGACCTGGCTGGGAGGTGCTAATGGGCAGCCCCGGCTGATCAGCCTACAGCCCCCCGGCATGACCCCAGGTAGGCTGAGGAGCTGGGGGGGTGGCAAGTAGGAAGCAGGGAAGTGAGTGGTGGTGGGGGAGGGCTGGAGAAGGGGTCGAAAGGTCAAGTCCAAGATTCCCCCCCCCCATCTCCCTGTCACACAGAAACCTCTGATGTTTCCAAGGATGGGGTGTTTGCATTTCCAGGCTCATACTCTGAGCCTTTCGAGGGCAGGGCCCAGGGTTTGTGTTTCCATCACAGTTCCCACTCCTGATGTGCACACATACGCTACATGGTGCCCACGGCAGCCTTGTGAGCAGAGGGTGGGGCAGCTGTTATTACCCTCTCTGGGGTCTCCGCCACAGGATTCCCTAGGGAATGGCACCAAAGGGTTGGGCAAGGAGTCCTCACCGAGGGGATTCTCTGATGTCTGATGCCTGTCCCTGCCCTACCTCAGTGAGCCAGGCACCCCGTGAAGCCCCTGCCCGTCGGGCCCCGTCCTCAGCACTGTACCTGGAAGAGAAGTCAGATGAGCAAAAGAAGGAAGAGGTAGGTAGGCATGGGAGGGAGTTGACCAGTATGGCGCACACAGAGTCCTGGCCGTACCTAATGACTGCCCTTCGGTTGTCTGTCTGACCCAGGCTGGGACAGGAGCCAGGGTCACACACCTCTCTCGATTGGGCAGCTTACTGGGGGAGACCTTCCAGAGCCCTGAAGTGGACCCATGGGGCACAGGACTCAGGAATCCAGGGAAGGGCAGAAGGAGGCCCCCCTCTGGCCTGGCCCATCCCAAACAGAGCCAAGGGTTTGGGACCCAAGTGCATTTGGGGCCCTGGTGCACATCTGAGCATCTGAGGCAGTGTGCAGACTCCAGTGCTGCGTGGCACAGAGTCTGTCTCTGGCTCCCTAATATTGGTCGAAGTGTATTTTTTTGTGAAAACCATCCCCTTTGTCAGGGCTCTGATGAAAATGGCTCTTTCACACCCTTGACCGGTTCAAACTGTGAAGGCCTGTGTTCCTGGGGTTAGCGGTCCTATTCTATTCCCTTGCCACCTCTTCTTCTGTCCACTCTTCTAGCTGCTCAGTGCCATGGTGGCAAAGCTGGGGAACCGCGAGGACCCGCTCCCTCAGGACTCCTTTGAAGGTGTGGACGAGGACGAGTGGGTGAGTAGATGAGGGCCCTGGCATCCCCTCCGTCCCTCCCTCACCCTGCAGCCTGCGACACCCCCCTTCTCAGACCTCTCAACTCCCTCCGACTTGGTTTATCTCCCCAGGACTAGACTGCCCACCAGCCACCTCTGGCCTCACCTGCTACCGCCACCTCCCAGAACCACCTGATGTGCCCGCTGCGCACCTCCGGTCTCCCCCTCAAACTGGAAGATGCCTCGTGGCCCTGGCACACCTCCTCCCCAAAGCCCTGACTTCCTTTGGGCCTTGGGCACTTCCAAGGCCTCTAGGTCCCGCTGCAACTCCCATGGATTGTCTGCACCTCTGCTTTCCCTGGGACTGGCTGCTTCTCCTCAGCTGCCTGCTAGCATGTGGAGCCAGGGGCATGGGAGCGCGGTGGGCTGGGAGTGCTGAGGGGTTAGTAGACGTCCCTGGGCTGGTCCCAGCCTGGGCTGGCTTTGCCCAGCACCTTAACTTATCACGGGCAACATCCCATCTTGCCTGCTGCCCCCACTTCCAGGTAAGAGCCTTGGGGGCTGGCCCCCTGCCAGGCCGTTTGGCACAGCACCAGCCTCACGGGCCAGGGACCAGTTGCCCTCCTCCCCAGGTTTGAAACCAGGAGAAGGGGGACATCACAGAGCTGATGGCCCAGTTAAGGGCGGGGTGTGAGCCCCTCAGGGACTGGCCTGAATATACCCTGGATGTTTTCAGCAATTAAACTTTTCTGAGCTGGCTACCTCTTGTGCTGCTGTGGTCTCTTGCTGACTGCGGTCTCTTGCTGACTGCGAGAGTTCGGGGACAGGAGTATGGGTGAAGGCGGTTTGGCCCTGGGTTCCCCCTTGTTCCAGGCCTCACTTTGCTCCTCAGGCCTTTTCAGCTGCTATGAGTTGGTTCATTCATCCAACACATAGATATCCAACAGTGGTCTGGATGGTAGATACGGTAAGGGACAGGAGAGACCAGGCCTCTCAAGGCACTTGTCATTGTCCTCCTGTGCAGGGGAGCCAGACTGTGTGCAAGTAAGCAAACTGTGAAGAGAGACATAAAGAAGACAAATTAGGGGCACCTGGCTGGTGTAGTTGGTAAAGTGTGCGACTCTTAACCTCGGGGTTGCGTGTTTGAGCCCCATGTTGTACATAGAGATTACTTAACCACAAATATATACATAAGGAAGACAAATTATGTGAAACAGAGCAGCAGAGATACAGACGAAGCAGGGTGTTCAGTCTGAGAGGTGACCTTTATGCTGAGAGCTGAGACCTGAAGGTCAGTGAGCCACAGAGCCATGAGAATGTTTCAGACGAAAGTCAGGTGGCCACAGCACTGAGGGAAGAAAGAATTTGAAGAGTTGGAGGAAAGGAAAGGGCAGTGGTCCGGGACATAGCACAAGGCAGTCTGACTTAACGTTCATTGAACAACCATGTGTTGGATACCTTCCATGTGCCAGCCACCCTTCTGGGTGCTGAAGTTCAAGAGTGGGGAAAAGAGAAAAGTCCTGCCCACCAGGGATCCACATTCTAGTTGCGGGAACAAGTTATAAACAATAAACATAAAGTACATGAATTATGCCTGGGTGGCTCAATCGGTTAACCGGCTGACTTCAGCTCAGGTTGTGATCTCACAGTTGCTGAGTTCAAGCCTCAAGGCCAGCTCTGTGCTACCAGCTCAGAGCCTGAAGCCTGCTTGGGATTCTGTGTCTCCCTCTCTGCCCCTCTCCCACTCCTGTTCTGTCTCTCTCTCTCTCTCTCTCTCTCTCTCTCTCTCTCTCTCTCTCAAAAATTTAAAAAAAAAAAAAATTTTTTTTTTAAAGATGATTAAGAACTTCCGGGAAAAAAAAATAGAGGGGACCAAGAATGGTAGTTTAAGTCAGACACAAAAGCCACATGTAGTTGGATTCTCTTTCCAGGAGATGTTCAGAACAGACAAATCCATAGGGACGGAACAAAGATTAGCGGTGGCCAGGTGCAGGGGGATGGGGCGGGGGCATTGGTTGCTAATGCGCAGGAATTTTTTTGAGGGGTTGATGAAAATGTTGTGGTGTCCTTGTGATGGTTGCACAACTCTGTGACTATACTAAAAAGCACGGAATTGTGCACTTTAAAATGGTGAATTGTATGGTGTGTGGATTTTATTTCAATAAAGCTGTTACTATAAAACAATGCAGGACAAGGTTCAGCGTTGGTAGGGGATCGGGGTGGGCCTTGTTGAGAAGATGACACTTGAGCAAGAACTTGAAGGAGGGGGCAATGAGAGGTCCTTCCCAGAGTAGAGGGACCCTAGCATGAAACTTATTTTGAAGTTTCCTGTTTTCTTATGTATTTGTGAGACTTTGGCATCCTACTCCTTATGTTCGTGGGGTGTCGTATGTTTATTGCATATCTTTTAGTACCAAATATTTTGGCAAAATCAAGGGAAGAAATTGCTCCGCATTTGACAGATGTATTTATTCTGTGGCATCTGGCACAGCGGGTAAGGGCGAAGGGCCGGGGCGAGGGCCAGGGTAAGTCCTGGGACCGCCCATCGCCCGCCCATCGTCCGTCCCCGGTAGTCTTGCGAACCGGAGCCCGGGGCCGACTCCGCCTCTGGTTCCGCCTACGGATTACGTCAAGGCACACCCCGCCTTCCGGAGGGAACAGTACGCATGCTTTGTGCGGCGTCACGCACGCGCTCTCTCCCTTGACCTCTGACCCGCCGGCCGCCCTTGAGCTGGGGGCCGCGGGGCCAGGAAGCAGCGGCTCACGACCCCGAGGCAGAGCGGCCACCATGGTGAGGCCCGAGATGGGCGCTGCCCGGGGGCGGGGGGGGCCGTTTCGGAGCCGGGTCAGGGGCGGCGAGCTGCGGCCGGGCTGCGGGAGCCGCGCGCCGCCTCGTGCCGGATGGGAAGCGGGGTCCGGGGGCGTCGTACCGGGAGGACCGCTACGGGCGCTGGCGGCCTCGGGGCGACGGAGAGTCGTTTGGCCGGAAAGCAGGGAGGGCCTGGCCGGCCGCAGAATGCCCGGCAAGTGCGGTCGTGGGCTCCAGCCCTTGAGCGCACAGTCCCAGCGGGAGGCGAGGGCCGACCCGCGAGCCCCTGCTTGGCCCCGCAGGTAGTTGGTGGTGTCGCCCTATTATTGTTCCCCTTTCGCAGCTGACCAAACGCTCTCCGAGACTTTGCCAAGGAAGTGGCAGAGCTAGGGCTTGAACCAGGCCCCTCGACACCGAAAACTGAGCGTTTCTGCGGTACCATTGGCGCTTGGAGCCAATCCACAGACCTGGGCCACACTGGCTGCGACGGGTGCACCTGAAGACCCTATAAAAATGCATGGTCCTGAGCTCTGCCCTCGGAGGTTCTGTCAGTTCCCCAAGGGATTGAGGCAGTCAGTTTGGGGAACCATTTCTTACTATTAAGGATAAGGAAGCGGCTTGCAAGTGCCAGGCCCTGAGCTGAGGCCTTACGTGGGTTCTCTCGTGTAATGCTTATGAAGTTCGTACTGTCATTGTCCTCATTTCACAGCTAAGGAACCTGAATTTCAGAGTTTGATTCGTCTAGGGTCATTCATGCAGCAGTGTCTGGTTTTGAGCCCGGTTACTGCCATTTTTTGAGGACCCACAACGAACGGTTGAACTGGGTCCTTCTCATTTGTGCGTGTAACTTTGAGCCACCCTCAAGAGTAAAGTAAAAGGTTGCTCTGGGGGAGTTTGTATCCTAAAGGAGGAATCAGGCAGGTCTGTGAACTAGAATAGCATATTAGTAGGAAAAGATGGTGCTGTGGGAGGATAGACATGGTAGGAGCCTGGGAAGGTTTCACTTGGGGGGATGGGGGTAACGTGTTTAGTGTTTTATTTATTTTGAGAGAGAGGAGACAGAGCATATGAGTGGGGCGGGGGGGGGGGGTGCAGAGAATCTCAGGCAGGCTCCACACTGCCAACACAAAGCCCCACATGGGGCTCGAACCCACGAACCATGAGATCATGACCTGAGCCAGAGTCAAGAGCCAGACGCTTAACCAGCTGAGCCACCCAGGGCCCCAGGCTGTGTTAAGTTTTGCAGGATGTTGGGTTTTGACTATCACGGTAATAGGATATTCAAAGTTAATGGCTCTCTTTTTTGGGGAGGGGTGGTGAAAATGTTCTGGAACTAGTAGTAGTCGTCCATGCATTTCAGTGTATTTACAGAGCTACACGAATACTCTAAAAAGCACTGACCACTTGACAAGAGTGATTTGTATGGTGTGTGAATTGCGAGCTGCAGACATTGGGGTAAAGAAGTCAGAGAGCTTGATCTCGAAGTAGGTGCGGAGAGAGGTGAGGGGAGAGAAGACCAGAGAAGTTGTCTGTAGGCAAAGCTGAGAACGCCTGACTGAAAAGTGGACTGAATTTGCCGGCAGTGGCAATGGCAGAATTGTGTGTGTCTTGGGGGATAGCTGAAGCCCTCCAGCAGAGGGAGTGGTAGGCGTTTGGAAACTCCGTCTGGGGGCATGGCATTGTTGCCGACGGTGACCTGTTTAAGTGTCACGTTGATTCACATACCAGTGGGCTGCTGTGCCGGCCATAGGCGGGGACCCCAGGCGTAGATGTTCCTGACTGCCCTGCTGCTTAGTTGTGATGCCAGCAGCTGTTTGCAGGGGCTCTGGGTGAACAGAGCCCCCCTCCTATCTCAGTGGATCCTTGAGAAGGGAGTGAGTCTCAGTGATAGTCTCTGCCCGCCAGCCCAAGAACCTGGAACTGGGCTTTGAAGGGAACATTGCACATCGGTCTGTCTGAAAGCCAGGTCCCTTCTTGATGCACTTAACATGAGATAAGCCACATTCCCGAGTGTCCCCAGATGCTTTCCTGTGGCCTTCTGCCCCACCTGCAGAGCTTTGGTCCTTCACTGGGCTGTGTTCCTCAGATGAGAAAATGTGTGTGTCCTCCACAGTGGGTTCCAGGCTTGGCGACCTGTGGCTCTGATCTCTGCTGCTTACCCTGAAGTTTGGCCTCAGTCGGATGCCATGGCAGCTGGTTGTTCTGGTCCAGGGTCTTCAGGCTCAAGTGTCAGTGAGTGGACTCTGGGATGTTTCAGGACTTTCTAGAAGAAACCTCACATCTGACCCACAGCTGGCACTGGGTACTGAATAGGTGGATGAGAAACTTGGCTGTACTGCCTGGTCTCTAGACCACTGAGCACCAAGCAGGGTCTGGTCCAGAAGCAAGGTAGCTGCTGGGCTGCTGTGAACCTGCCACTGACTGTCCGCTTGGTTTTATGTGGATTGCCTCCTGAGGACCTTGCAGCCCCCCTGTAAGGAAGGTATTGTTCTCCCCATTTTGCAGATAAGAGAATTGAGGTTCAGAGAGGTTGAGTAATTGGCCCAGGACCACAACAGCTAGCAAGAAGACAAGCTGGGAGCCAGACTAGAGCTGCAAAGCAGCCCTCTCCCTCTTCTTCCATGCTGCTTTCCAGCTCCTTAGGAGTGTAGGCTGGCTTTTTGCAGCCTTTTCCTGTGAGGAATTAGTGGATCTATCAAATGAGTTGCCTTTTTGGGAAAAGCTTTGTTACTCCATAATGTCTGACCATTGTCAGGTTTTGTGAAACAGTGTATAATAAATGAAAACCAACATTTATTGAGTACTTATTGTGTTAACAGGCTCCGTGCCAGGCAATTTACAAGCATTATCTCATTAAATCCCTGTGACAGCCCTATTGTGTCCCCATTTTACAGGTGAGAAAACTGAGGCTAAGGGGACCTGAGAACACGTTAGGAGCACACAGCTGGGATTTGTACACGGGTGATCCCAAAGCTTGCCTGTATGAGCGCACATCATCCCCTGGAGATGCCCCCCACACGAACCTTGGTAGCCTCAGTGGACCAACCAGGCAGCTCCCTTGGTCAGTCAGGGTACCCTCTGAAATTAGAGGCTATCCCCACCTTTTCTGCAGCCATGGAGCTCTGGCAGCAGGAACGACAGGGACACCATGCCACTGTGGTTTGAAGCCTGCAGGGGTGGTTAGGGGGGCTGCCCAGTTACACTCTGAGTTTCTAAGATTCGTTATTGAGCAACAGCCACCATCCCAGGCAGAGAAGTAAGTTGAAGGGCAGTGATGGGTGGAGCAGTGGCCTTGCCCCTAGGCGTGTGGCAGCAGGTGAAGGTGTGGTCTGAGGCCGAAGGGTGTGTAAGCCGTCACCTACCGGCCTGTCAGCCGCACTGTACCTCAGACAGGGCCAGCCGTCTATCTGGGAACCTCCAGTCCCACTTGGGAAGGGCTTTGGGCCTGGACGGAGAAGTTGGGAGGCTTCCCTCCCTCCGGTGCACACAGTACTGGTCTTGACTCCTCCTTGCACGCAGCCCCGCCCCTCCCTTTGATCCCTGGACAGAGCCTTCACTGAGCTTTGCTTTCTGGTGTGAAATAACAGGGCTTATGAAATTTCCATTTACGTGTGAAATCCAAACCCACTTCCATTTTTTAATTCCTGCTAATGTCCCAGAACCAACATCCCGCCCTGCCCATAAGGGCAAGTCCACTGGAAGCCACACAAAGCCAATTCTGGAATCCAGATTCCCCTGGCATCTCACAAGCCCCTCTTTGGCCTCTGGGTTGAGTCCTTGATCCTTGTCAGGTTGCTGAGTTGCCCTCCCTGCAGGATCCTCTGTGAGGTGGGCAGCCTGAGGATGCCATGGCTGAGAGTACCAATGTCAGGGTTTCCTGCCCATGTTCCCCTTGAGTACTAGCCGTGTCCTTGGGCTCGTCATTAAACCCTGCTGTGCCTTGGTGGCTTGAGGTCTTGGGTTAAATGGCACAGTGCCTGGCACCCAGGCTCAGTTGATACTTGACGGCTGCTAGAACATCTAACTACCGACAAGTGTGAGAAAGAGTAAGGGAAACCACGGGCATGTGCCCCCTGAGCAGTGTCGGCCTGCAATGAGCCCTGTCTGGGCCCTCTGCCCGCCCTCGTTTGTACCATCGCACACACCGGTCATTTCCGGTGTGCTGTCTGTATCGTCTTTTCTCCATAAGGGCTGTACGTTTTCCCATCCCGGCCACCTTCTTAGTCTTCTCTCCAACGACCTTACAACTCCCCTATGCTCTTGGCTGCTCCCGGGACGGCCTTTACACTTTTCTCCTGGTGGGCTCGCCCTGGTTCCTCTGCCTAGAAAGCCCCAGTATTCCCATTGTGATCCTCCCTGCCCTCGAAATCCAGCGCAGTAGAAATCTCATCTTTTTCCAATGTCTCCGTCTCATTCCTGAGGTTTCCTTCCATTGCCTTTCTATACTTCTGGTCATGCTTAATGAGGCTCTGTGTGCCCCTGTGGTGTGTTGAATCACGCGGTCTGGGAGTAGAAAACCACCATGCTGTGCCCTGTAGAGGCTCCCCCTGCCAGGCCAGGCCAGGCCAGGCCAGGCCAGGCGGTGTACGGGAGCTCTGAGGGCACCGCAGGGTTCCGTGTGTCCTTGTGCTAAGCAGAGCTTAGCCGACTGTGCTGGTGTTTGAACCAGTGGAGGAACCGGTGACCAGTCCTGTTTTCCCTCACCAGTTAGTTGTCTTAAATGCTTCCCTAGTGGGCTTTTTGCTGCTGAAAGGTGGAGCCTCTTTTTCTCTTTTGTTGTGTTGATTGCAACCTTCGTGAATAGTCTTGGGAGAATTGGGGTGGCTCCAGGCTCCCTGAGTTTCCTGCTGGTAGAACAAAGGTTGGGACCTCCAGTCTCAGAAGCACTCACTGGGTGAGTTAGTGGCAGTGGCTGGTCTGGGACCAGCCCCTGGTTCTGGCTCCAGGCCATAGTGTTGCTTTGGAAGCTTCTGTGCCCTGCAGCCCCTTTGTTTTAGCTGTTCTGTCCTCGGGTCTGAAGGCCAAGGGAGGGTCCCACTTGCCTCTGGGAACACCGTCAGGTCCACCCCAGCCAGCTCTCCAAAGAGCATCTGAAGCCACCCAAAGCAGAAGCCTTTTATCAAGGTTATTTGGATTAAGTTGCCTGAGGCTGCTGCCCTGGACTTCATTACCTCAGATCTCCAGAAGCCTTGCCACTCAGCAGCCATTTGCAGGGTCCCATCTCTGGAAAATGCAACCTGCTAACCAGGTACCTGCTTTGCCCACAGGCCAAATACCTGGCCCAGATCATTGTGATGGGGGTGCAGGTGGTGGGCAGGGCCTTTGCCCGAGCCCTGCGGCAGGAGTTTGCAGGTAAGTTTGAGCCCCAGTCTTCCCCCTGGGCTGGGAGCTCCTGCCCAGGTGAGATTTTC